GTGAAAAACTCAGACTGGGAAAATGGTTTTGGCAATAACAAACTGGACAAAGGCTCAATCTATAAAATCTACAGGAAACTGCAGCGCCTCAACACGAAAACGTCAGCCTGTCAAAAATGGAGAGAGGACATGAACAGGTAGTTCACCGAAGAACACCTTCATACGGGCACCAACACACAAAGAAACGCTCTTGATCACGAGCCACCCCAGAGACCCAAATCCAAACAACGATGAGCTATCACTTCTCGCCGGCATCGAGAGCCAAGTTCAAAAACACAGAATCAACAAATGCTGGCAAGGGGGTGGAGAGACTGCCCCTCACACACGCCCGGTGGGACTGTACACCTGTCCAACACCTGCGGAAAGTGGTACGGGGCTTCTCCAAACGAGTAGGAGTAGGAATCCCTTTGCTGGGTCGATCCCCTAAAGAATCAAGAGCTGTGGCTCAAACAGAGGCACGCAGACCCGTGTTTCCTGCAGCCCCACGTTCAGAGCAGCACGAACACGAAGCACCCGAAATGTCCATCCGTGGGAAAACGATGAACAGGCTTTGGTACATACACACCATGGAGCGCTATGTACCAATAACTGATGGGTTTGGAGGAGACTCTAGGCTGTGAGCGAAAGGAGTCAATCACACAGGGACAAACATTGTCTGAGGTCCTCGTTATAAGAGAAAAAAATCAAGACAGGTTGTTTATACCAGAAGAAACACAGTTTGGTGGTAACGGGTGGTGGGAGGGGAAGAGAGTAGGTGATGTAATAGGCTAGAGGGCAGACACAGGTGTGAGTTAAGGTGAAAGTAATACTCTACAAGAGGGGAAAAGAGGGGGGGGAAATGTGAGGAGTGGGACAGGGCAAGGGAGGTTTGATAAGTTGTTGAAATTGAATTGTTGCAAAGATGATTAGCTGAAATGCAAACCCCCATCGAATACACAATACAAGGGTTGAAAGTCCGGAGGGATATGCAAGCCGAACAAACACTGCAGGAAATAAAGCAGACGGGACTGGAAAGATGGGAAAGCCCACTGGAAATGAAACCCCGAAAGGCAGAGGGAAAAAGGCAGACAGCTGGGATCAGCAATCGGCCTTCTCTCCAAATCCCCAGAAAGCCCTCCAAAAGTCCCTGCAAAGCCAGCAGGCCTTCAATGGCAGGGGCTGGGCATAGGGTCATGGAAGTCTTTGGGGCATGGCAATGCCATTTTCTACTTGGCCAAGCTCACGGCAGCTGGCACTCCCTGCTCCCCGGCACCCACCACCCCAGCTCCGGGCTGCAGGCTCTCCAGAGTGAGAGCGGAGGGCAGAGCCAGAGGTAGTTTCTTTCTGTTCCTGCACCGTGCTCGCTGGAGAGCCAGCCTGCAGCCTCCACCCAGCCATGCACATGCACAAATACAGACACGACCCCTTCTCTCATGAAGCTCAGCTCAGCAGCAGGAGTTGGCCTTGAACAAGTGATTTCTCATAGGACCCTTAGAGCTTGGTGAGTGTGCGCACAGAGATGCCTCCGTGCTAGGAGACAGATCACAGACGGGAGGCCTGACCTCCATCTGCTGTGCTAGGAAAGGTCCTAGCGGATGTGAGGCTTAAACCGAGAGCAGAAGGGTGAGACTGGCTGAGCCAGGAGGAAGTGAGGAGTGGGGCCCCTTCTAGACACAGGGAACTGCTATACAAATGCCCTAGGGCAGGGCAGGCAGGAGGGTGGCTGGTTCAGGAACCAGAGAAGAGCCAGGTGCAGCGGATGGCGAGTAAGC